TTTGTGCTCTAAAATTAACTTAATTTTTTTTTTCTTTACTGAAATTTTGTGATAATATCATGTGACAAAAAAAATTGAAACTACCGCTATTTTATTCTCTAGGAATAGTCTAGTCTGCTTTCAGAAAATATATCACGTTTGGGGGTTTTATGTAATCTTCAGGCCTAAAATGATTTTTTAAACATGTGCAAATAACGCAAAACCAGCTCTGGCAGCGAAATGGATAAAGGATAAAAACTGGACACTCCCCTTTTCTGACGAGCAACCAATCGGTGCTAACTACACGGCGAGGTCTCTCCCCCCTCCCTGCTAGTCCCCGGGCGCGGTGCTGGAGAGAGGCAGGGAATGGAGGAGAAGATAAACAGCGCAATGTTAAAAATATTAAACGTTTAAGTCGCCATAAAGCCCCTTTATGTTTTTAAAATCCCCAGACATTACTTAAAGCAGATTTAAATACGGTTTTGGTTAAAATTTATGTTTTTTTTTTTTATCAGAAAAAGTAGATGGTCATGAGAGACAAGTAGATTGGGACACCGATTTAGTCCCTGGACAAGTAGTTTTTTTTCAAAAATGTCCACACCCCTGTTACACTTTAAAGCTTCGTTCACACCTATGCAGTTTGCTTTTTGTGCATTTTGCAGTTCATTTTGCATTTTTCTACACGCATTTTTACCACGTTTTGTTCAGCTTTTTTTTTTTTTTGTTAAAGTGGAATTTTTTTTTGTTGCTGGGCAGAATAAAAATGCAAAATGCAAAACATGGCAAAAACGCACTGCCATTCATTTCAGCAGCTTCTTCATTAAACTCTATTGTAGCAAAAACACCGCTTTTTGCTTTTAAAAATGTCCCTGACCCTTTCCAAATACGCAGCAGCTCAGAAAAAGCATAGATGTGAACATGTCCCATAGGAAATCATGTTAAATGAACTGTAGTGCGTTTCTGCAAAAGCAAAACGCACTAAAAAATGCATTGGTGTGAACGTAGCCTAATAGATTAAAGTGTATGGTACTTTCAGGTAGTAGAACAAGGGCAGAATTATTAGGGCTTATTCACATACCAGCATTGCAATGCAGTTTACGTAAAGGGTAATTCCACTTTCATGGTAAAAGAAAATGGCAAACAAAAAAAAATGATAGCGTATACAATTTCTACAAAAGTTATATTGTAATCGAATGTTATTAAAAATGACCTTTCCTTTTCAATCTGCTGCAGCGCTGCACTTTTCTGTATTTTATTTATTTATTTCAGGTACTTATATAGCGCTGTCAATTTACGCAGCGCTTTACATATATATATTGTACATTCACATCAGTCCCTAACCCTCAAGGGGTGTATAATCTAAGACCCCTAACTTGCATTCATACATACACATACTAGGGCCAATTTAGACAGGATTCAATTAACCTACCAGCATGTCTTTGGAGTGTGGGAGGAAACCGAAGTACCCGGAGGAAACCCACGCAGGCACAGGGAGAACATGCAAACTCCAGGCAGGTGGTGCTGTGGTTGGGATACGAATCAACAACCCGAGTAATGCCAGGCGGAAGTGCTAACCATTTGTGCAATGCAAGTTGGCAACCTGGAGGCATTCTGTACACAGAACACCCCCCCCCCCCCCCAGAAATGTCATTTTCCTGCTTATGTGATTGGCTTACTGATTTTCCCAGAAGTCGGCACTAAGATACAAGTCAGATTTTGGGGGCATCCTGTGGAACAAATATATTATTTTTGGTGAGATACTCCCAAAGTGAAATCACATCTAAAGGAATGCAGACCCTGCCACTTTCCTCAGAGCCCTGTAGGTGCAGCAGCTGATTGATAATTAGAAAATTACTCCCATACAGAATCACTCTACACATGGACACAAGCAGCTATTTCTACTGAATAACAATAGGTAGGAATCTGCACCAAAGTTTGGTAAAATCCTTGCAATGTACATAGATCACCCAGAGGGGAAGGTTTTTTTTTTTCTCCACAAAAGTAGAGTTCCTCTTTAACTGCACACTACAGAATCTTTGTACTGTTTCATAGTGGGCAATGATTCATGTCAGATCTCTGCAGTGAGTTGTGGTGCGCTGTGAGGGAGCACAGGAAAAGTCCGTTTACGCAGCAGTTTGTGTGCGCTTTATACCTCATTACTGTGCTGAAACCACATTATGAAAACTGAGAGTCTTTTGACATGCAGTGCAGATTCATCAACAATCCTAAGAAAAGCTTTACAATATTCCCAAACCACTGCACCCCCTGCATGCGTGTGGCTTGAAGTCTCGATCTATCATTATGATAGTTTTACTGCTTTCCAGGAGAAATTCACTGCGGAATTGGGAAAATTAAAAGTCAGCAGCCACAAATACCTATAGCTCCTACCCTTTAAGAAACAGATATTTAACAGTCCATGGAATCCAGCACTGTCTTCTGTTCTGATTCTTCTCAGAGCTTCTGCTCCTCTGCACCCCCTTCTCGGTTTTTGGAACCGACGGGGAAGGGGCCCAGAAGTGCTGGCAGGGGACCCAAGAAGAGAAGGATCGAGGCTGGTTTGTGGAAAACCATTGTACAAGGCAGGTAAGTATGATGTGTTAATTATTTTAAAGAAAAAAAAAAAAAACAAGCCTTTAGAATCTCTTTAACCACCTCCAGTCCGGACACCTTTACCTCCTTCTTGTCCAGGCCAATTTTCAGCTTTCAGTGCTATCACACTTTGAATGACAACACTGTGCTCATATGAATTTTTTCACCTTTTTTTGAGGCAGATAAATCTGTTTTGGTGCTATTTATTCACCACTGGGATTTTATTTTTTTTTGCTATATAACTGAAAAAGTCCAAACATTTTGAAAAAAAGTGTTTTTCTTATAAAATTTTGCAAATAAATAATCTTTCTTCATAAATCTTGGCCAAAATGTATTCAGTTATCTTTTTAGTAAAAAAAATAACCTAAATTAGTTTATAATTTTTTTAAAAAAAAATTTTTTTTACATTTTTTAATTTTTTTATATTATTGTTTATGCGTTTTTTTTTTTACATACTGTCACCCTAGCAGTACAGTGTCACCATAGTGACACTGTACTATTTGTGGGGGGTGATGAAGATTTTTTTTTTTTTTACACTGATTGCTTTTACACCCATAAAGGCTGTAAAAGTAAAAATTTCTCCTTCTCTCTGGCTACATTCTTGCAGCCATTGAGAAATACTGTGTGAGCTGTGATTGGTCACAGCTTGTCACATGGTGCAAGGCTGCTGTGAATAGCCTTGTACTATGTGACCTCTATGATCATTCACAGATTTCACACGTAGTAAGCAATGATGTCAGAAGTGAAGTGACATCTTGCTTACTACTATTCATGTGATCATTGATTGGCCAATCAGTGATCACATGATCGGGACCTCATACAGAGGTCACTTACAGCGATCAGTGTTCTGCTGTGTCCGGAGGACACAACGGTCACCAGATCGCGGTGCCGCGTGCTCCTAGGGGGCGCACACAATCCAAAATGTTTATGGCGACATTTATGGTTAAAAGGTATACACCTTTTGTATATTTTGGGTGTTTTTCACTGTTATCCACCATTTTGGATGTTTCATGTGTATTCTATTCAACAATTTATTTTCGTGATTTGGTTTATATATTTACTATGAAAGATATATTGTGAGGAATATTTCTTATATACATGCTTAGAATTAGCAAAGCACCAGTTACTCTTTATTTAGTATTTTTCCATTTTGTATATGGTAAGGTGTTAGCAGCTTTACATATAGACTAGGACAGGGCTTAAAATTTCATGTCCTGAGCTACTAGCCAGCCCATAGAGTTACTCGCCACCAACAAACACACACAAACAGGGACACCTGTACACACACACACACACACACACACACACACACACACAGAAACATGTACACACACACAGAGACACATGTTTACACACACACCACCCCCCCATAAAAAGTTGCAGTACTTCGTTGTTCACTCACAGATCCGGGTACTGCACACTAGGTGGAGGCAGTGAGCACAGCACACACTCCTTGCGTTGCTTTCACTGCGCTCAGCTGTTGAGCAGTCTGACGGCTCCCAGTGCCAATGACAGATCTGGCCTGAGCTCCGAGCCTGCTCAGCAAGACGGCCCTGGGGGACACACTCGCCCCTACCATAATTTCCACTCGCCATTGGCGAGCAGGCGAGTGGAAATTTCAAGTCCTGGACTAGGAGACCTAGAGCGCGGGAGTACTATATAGATATATTTACTGGTTAACACCCAGTTTTTATTTTTAAACCCTTGCTTCCTCCCCATAGTTTAAAAACATAAATGTCAGAAAGTCATGCTAATTCTCCCTATACTCCAGCATTGCACTCCTTGTCCTTCTTTGGTCCCAGCCTGTGGTGCTTTTCCGGTTTTAGTAATGCCCAGTGTCACTCAACCCACTTCCTGCAATCCCAGGGTGGCAAGGACACCCACAGGGACAAATCATCCAGCTGCTCTGGGCTGATGGAGACTGATGCAGAGAATGGTGCCCACATCATTACCTGGTGCCATTCTCTGCATGATAGGTGACCCTCTAACCATCACTGCAAGAAAGATGAAGAGCTCTTGGGGATGTCATGTGACCAGACCAATGACTTCTCCAAATAAAATTTGTATCCTGAGAAAAAAAAAAATTGCATACGGGGTGCTCCAAGGAGGGTGGAGGGCATCTCCGTAGCCTAGAGTGTGGCTTTAATGGACAACCTGGGAGGTGTTGGGCCTAAGGTAAATGTTTGACTTTAGGTCCAGTCTTAACAGTAATATATTTCTTCTACATATCTTGTTAAAAAAAATTTATGTAGATTGCCTGCTTGTATTAAACTATATAGAATCTGAGCTCGTTAATCAAATACTTGTCTTGAATGTTGTAGCAAAGGCGCTTGCACACATCCTCCACACTCCACGCAGTTATGTACTTGTAGCAGTGGCAGGAATTTATCAGATGGATATGCTTTTGCTGATCACTTTGTCTGTTGCTTCTTAGGAACTATGCGATATGTCAGAAAAACCCTCTGTCCATTAGACTCTGCTCCAGCTAAAGGCATTTTCTGGGAGTGGATGAATGATGATGGCTGTTGGACAGCTTATGAAACACAAATCTGCATATTCTTGGAGGAGAAGTTTAGTAATGGAAATCTCTCTGTAGATCTTGCAGTAGTTGGACTCCGCTACCTTGTTGACTTTAACTCGCTTGTTCAAGTAAATCAGGTCACTGGATATAAACGACGTGTTCAACGGACCCTTGGTACACCTTATCCTGCAACTCCAAAGGCAGGACCTGCACATAAGGCAACGGCATGTGCTTGTCACCAGTGTCTTGCAAGCAGTCATGCAGGGCCTATGCATCGGTATCGACACTCCATGATCAATCTGCCTACATCTTCAAATTATCAGAGCAGTAGCCGAACATCCATCAACAGTGTTGGGTATTTACCATATTCGAAACCTACCATGACCAGTGCAAAGTCGGCACCAAAGCTTAATAGCACATGGGTACCTCCCTCTACGCCATTGCAACTCCCCGGTCCATCTTCTGCTAATGGTAATCAGGTAACTAATGTTCCATTTTTTGTATGGTTTATTTGTATACGTATAACATATAATAGGACTGGTACAATTCTTACTCTAAAGATTGATATAGTACGATATATATATATATATATATATATATATATATATATATATATATATATATATATATATATATATAATGCGTTCCCCGGGACGTTTCATATTGTGAAAAATTCCTAAAACCGAAATGCGGTTTTGAATATGCATTGAATACCAATTAATTCGTACCAGAGGTCAGAAAAAAGTATCTGTTCAAAACTCTTTATAAAGTGCACTTTAAAGGCATAAATACTGTACAGGGACATGGAGCCTGCACTATAAACCTCCCAGGCGCAATGCATCCTGGAGAAACTTTCTTTGTATTGTGAAAAAGAAAAACATACATATATATGTATGTATATGTGTGTGTGTGTGTATATATATATATATATATATATATATATATATATATATATATACATGTATATGTGTATATGTTCTGTTTTTTTTTTCCCCTTGACAATTGGGGCAACAATGATCAATGAAGGTATGTTCATTTTAAAACAACCTAGGAAGCTGTAGTGTTGCCGTTTTAAAATAACATGGGGGTTTTAGTCGCATGTGATTCCACACTGGACCTGGTGTGAAAAAGCTCTAAAATATAGTCTGTGAGGCAGAGTTCAGTGGTCTGTTGGTTAGAAATCTTCCCCTCACCTCCCAAGATTTTTTAAAACAATTTTTAATTCATTGCTTGACATCTGGTTGATTTGAACACCAAGAAGAAGAATTATTATTATTATACAGGATTTATATAGCGCCAACAGTTTGTTCAGCGCTTTACAATACAGCAACAATACAGTTCAATACAAGAGGGATAGGAGGACCCTACTCCTTGGAGCTTACAATCTAGGAGGGAGGGGTTAGTGGTACAAAAGGTAATAACTGTGGGGGATGGACTGGTAGGAAGAGTAGAAGATTCCATTATTAGCTGAGGGCAGGATAGGCTTCCCTGAAGAGAGAGGTTTTAAGAGATCGCCTAAAAGTGAGCAGAGTAGGCGATAGTCTGATAAATAGGGGTAGAGAGTTCCAGAGGATGGGAGATGCTCTGGAGAAGTCCTGGAGACGAGCATGGGAGGAGGAGACAAGGGGAAGCTAGAGAGCAGGAGGTCTTGTGAGGAGCGGAGAGTACGGTTTGGGTGATATTTATAGACAAGATTGCTGATGTAATTTGGGGCAGAGTTATAAATGGCTTTATATGTTATTGTTAATGTTTTGAATTTTATCCGTTGGTCAATGGGAAGCCAGTGGAGGGTTTGGCAGAGAGGGGTAGCAGATACAGAATGGTTAGTAAGGTGGATGAGTCTGGCAGCAGCATTCATGATAGACTGAAGAGGGGATAGCCTGCGATGAGGTAGGCCAATGAGGAGGGAGTTACAATAGTCAAGGCGAGATATAACAAGGGAGTGAATAAGTTGCTTAGTGGTTTCCGAGGTTAGGAACGGGCGTATCTTGGAGATGTTGCGGAGGTGAAGTCTACAAGATTTGGACAGCGATTGGATTTGGGGCTGAAAGGACAGATGGGAGTCTAGGGTTACACCTAACACCCTGGCATGAGGGGAAGGACTGATGATTGTGTCATTGATTTTGATGGAGCAGTCAGGGGAGAGGGCACGGGCTGGAGGGAATACTAAGAGCTCAGTTTTGGAAAGATTGAGTTTGAGGAAGTGGAGTGACATCCATGCAGATATGTCACTTAGTCGGTTAGTAATGCGAGAGGAGACTGAAGGGGTGAGGTGAGGGGTAGAAAGATAGATTTGTGTGTCGTCAGCATAGAGATGGTACTTAAAGCCATGGGAGTTTATCAAGTGACCAAGGGAGGAGGTGTAGATGGAGAAGAGTAGGGGCCCAAGGACGGAACCTTGAGGTACCACTACAGAAAGAGGAAGTGAAGAGGAGGAGCCAGAGTTATAAGTAACGCTGAAGGAGCACTGCGATAGGTAGGAGGAGAACCAGGAGAGAGCAGAGTCTCTGAGGCCAAGAGAGTGGAGTTTTTTTGAAGATGAGAGGATGGTCAACCGTATCAAAAGGTGCAGAGAGGTCAAGTAGTAAGTGTACGGAGTAGTGGCCATTGGTTTTAGCAGTTAGTAGATCATTTGTGAGTTTTAGTAGGGCAGTTTCAGTGGAGTGTAGTGAGCGAAAGCCAGACTGTAAAGGGTCAAGAAGGTTGTTATCAGTGAGGTGGGAGCTCAGGCAATTGTAGACTAAGCGTTCTAAGAGTTTTAGAGGTAAATGGCAGCAGGGAGATGGGTCTTAAGTTGTTCAGGTTGGTGGGGTCCAGGGAGGGCTTTTTAAGTATGGGAGTGATGTGTGCATGCTTTAGAGGGGAGGAGAAGGCACCAGTAGAGAGGGAAAGATTGAAGATGTGAGTGAGGGAGCATAGGATGGAAGAAGAGGGTGACCGTAGTAGTTGTGAGGGGACAGTATCCAGGGGGCAGGTAGTGAGACAGGCTTCTGAGAAAACCTTAGTGACCTCTTCGGTAGTAGCAAGGTCAAAAGAGAAAAGTGTTGAGGGAGGTTTAGTATAATGTATGCTAAGTGGGATGGATGTCTGTGCAGTACCGATGCCCCTACGAATTGCATCAGTCTTGCTTTTGAAATGATTTGCAATCTCGTGAGCAGTGAGTGAGGTGCTGGGTGGAGGTGGAGAAAGTAGAGAAGAGACGACGAGGACTGGATGATAAGCTATTGATGAGACTGACAAAGTAGGCTTGTTTGGCAGCATGGAGGGAGGAATTGTATGTTAAGAAAGCAGATTTATATCAGGTGAATGCTTGGTGAGATTTGGTTTTATGCCACAATCGCTGCAGCGCACGACTATGTCGTTTAAGATTTCTGGTGTGGTCAGTCTGCCAAGGTTGTAATGGTCGGGGCCTGATGCTTCGTGTTGTTAGAGGAGCAAGTGAGTCTAATGCGGATGAAAGCGAACTGTTATAGACAGCAGTGGCCAGGTCAGGGCAGGACAGGGGAGAGATTCTGTCATAGAGTTGGTCAGTTGCAGAGTGGAAAGGAGCCGGGTTCAAGTTGTGAAGGTTTCTGCGGGTAATTGTTTGCTGCTTGGAGGGATAGGTGTTTGAAGATGAGGACACTGTGAAGATGATGAGATTGTGATCAGAGGTGTTTGTGAGGTTGTAGGGAGCGCAAAGATGGGAGAAAACAAGGTCTAATGTATTCCCATCAGAGTGAGTGGAGGACTGTATACATTATTCTAATACAAAAGATGAGGTTAAGTTGAAGAGTTGGGATGTAGCCGGGTTGTTTGACATTAACAGAGATGTTAAAATCTCCGAGAATGATAGTGGGTAGTTCAGAGGAGAGAAAGTAGGGTAGCCAGGTGGAGAAATCATCAAGAAAGCGGGACACGGGGCCAGGAGGCCGATAGATCACTGCAATCTTCAGAGAAATGGGAGAAAACAGCCGGATGCAGTGAGTCTCGAAAGAAGAGAAGGATAGAGAGGGAGGGTTAGGGAGGACTTGAAAGGTGCTCCGTGGAGATAGAAGCAAACCAACCCCACCACCTTTCCGACCACTGGGTCTGGGTGAGTGGGTCCAGATGAGGCCACCATAGGAAAGTGCTGCGGGAGAAGCAGAATCTGCTGCTTGAAGCCAGGTTTCTGTAATTGCTAGTAGGTTAAGGGAGCGGGAGACAAAAAGGTCATGGACAGAGATGAGCTTATTAGAAAGAGCGGGCATTCCAGAGTGCACATGAAAAAAGGAGGGTGGTTTTTTTGGAGCAAGGGGACTGATATTAAATTGAGGGGATTGCGGCTATTCCTGGGGGAAAGAGGGTGCCTGGTATGGGGGTGAGATACTGGAGTACCAGGGTTTGGGGAGATATCCCCAGAGGTTGTGTGTTATTTTTTGTTATGGTAAAGCGGAACTTAACTCTCTCAATCAATATTAACTATTTTTATTCCTTATGCTGCTAGCATTGATAAATAGATAGGAATTTATATTATAGTTATTTGTTTTAAAAAAATGTTTCCACATTTCTAAAGTTGGTTTCTGGCCTAGGCCAAAATGCTGTCTTACACCCCAGGAGTCTTGGGCATTTTTTTATTTTATCGGAAGGTGAGGAGGCTTTTTCTCAGCTAAGCACACCTTCTTGCCCGCATGCCTGAGCTAAGGGAAGATGGACTCAGTAAGTAAATGCTACATGAATCCTTTACCCTTACTCAAGATGGCCACGGCTAGAAATGCTAGGGGTGTTTTTAGAAGTGATTTATGGTGCTCAGATACAGTTAAGTTCCTCTTTAAAATTAATTTTAAAATAAAATGTAGTGTATTTATTTGTTTATTGTACATTGAACTGTTATTTCTTTTTTTTCCCTCTCTTTCTCCAAGTATTCCATCGATCCCAGTGCAAACTCAGAAGTCCAGTTCTATAAATCAGGCTTTTGCAGGTAAAATAGTGTTACTTAAATAATCTTAATATACCATTTCCTTTATAAGCTCTTAGGCTTTACAGAGTCACCTTTTCGATTTTGTTTTTGAGTGGAAAGATGAAGGCACCAAGCCATAAGGATTGGTCCAGATAAAAAAATTAATTTGTCACAATAAAAGAATTTTATCAAGTGTTGAAAGCCAACGAGATTCAGGGGTTACACACACACACATATCCCTCTTCATCAGGGTGACAATGGTACAGACATTTTAAATAACATTAATTTATTTTCATAGAACACATACATTTATATATTTTGTGTAACTAGAATAAGAAGATATATTGGCTAAATTCATGCAAGCATATACAGTGAAAAACTATTTTGTAAATTCATTCAGAAGATTGTAAGTGACCTCAAGTGATGTCATATATCGATCGTATTACTGTTTTAAATATATATAATTAAAAGTATAATAGGTCTATAAAAGTGATAGAACAATAGATATTTGTGAAATAGGCCTCTATACAATAAAAGTAAAATAGACCTCTGTCCAATTACAGTAAACCTTTTATATAGTACCAAATAGATCTCTTTACAATATAAGTAACCTCGAAATCGATGGTCAACATTCCATCGATCACGATCTACCTGTCAACTGCTGGCAGGTGACAGGTAGATCACGTTTGATTCCCTGCATTGTCGACCATCAAGTGCTCCGCCACTCTCCCCCCCCCCCCCCCCCCCCAGTGGCAAAGTAGAACAGCACAGCAATGAGCTCAGGCATCTTATCGCCTGACCTCCCAAGCTGGGAAGCAGTCAAACCAAATCCTAGGTAGCAGAGGCTTTCACCACCCCGTAGCACACCCCTTGCATGTGTGGTTGCAGGGCAGGAAATGCCTCTGCCACCTAGGATTCTCTGTCGGCTTTGACAGCACTTGTTCAAGTTCAGACTGTTGTCCCCCTGAGTGCAGTGTGCTGGTCTCTGCCAGCTCTCCTCTACAGTTCATTCAAGGCACTTATGGGTGACATCATGTGACGAAAAAGAGGGACAGTGGGGATCAGCACATCAGAACAGGTAGATCTGCCGCAGCATCTTCCCTGCGCTGCTCTGCATTCGGAAACCACTTATTTACCCTCCTGACCCCCAGTACTATACCCCCTGATCCCTCTGTAGCATGCCCTCCTGACCCCCTGTACCATGTGCTCCTAACACTTCTGTAGTGTTCCCCTATGACCCCCCAGTACTTTGCCCTCCAAACCTCCTTGTACTGTGCCCTCCTGACTCCCTGCAGTATCATGCCATCCGGACCCCCTGTAGTGTGCACTTCTTACCCCAAATACCGCATCCTCCTGACCCCCTAGGACTGTGCCTTCTTAACTCCCAGAACAGTGTCCTCCTGACCCACAAATAACATGCCCCCCTGACCTTCCAGTGCTGTGCCTTCCTGACCCCCCTGTACTGTGCCTCCCTGACCTTCCCTTTACAATGCCTTGCTGACCCCCTCATCCTTTGCCTTGCTGACCCCCTCATCCTTTGCCTTGCTGACCCCCTCATCCTTTGCCTTGCTGACCCCCTCATCCTTTGCCTTGCTGAACCCCTGTCCTTTGCCCTGCTGGCCCCTATCCTTTGCCCTGCTGACCCCTTGTCCTTTGCCCTGCTTACGCCCTGTACTCTGCTAACCCCAGGGATTTGCCCTACTGATCCCTTAATCCCTGTACACTGCTCTACTTACTACTGACCCCTGTACAATGCTCTATAACATACTGACTTTTGTACACTGCCCTACAACATATTGACCTCTGTACACTGCCCTACCTACTACTAACCTGTATACACTGCCCTTCTTGCCAGTTAACATTTTAAAAAATTCCTACCCTTGCTCTAAACAATAAACGTAGGCCTTTAAACAGTACAAAACACACAGTTATATTGTACTATATAAAGTTCTACCTTTATTGATTAAACATCGTCTTTACTTTTATAGTATATCATTTTCTGCTTATCTTTTAAATGTTTATAAAATGCATACATTTTGTGTAACTAGAATATCTGCTTTTTAACACTTATTGTAGCCCTGATGAATAGGAAAGTGTACATAACCCCAAAAACATGTTGGTTATCAACTCTTGATAAATACCTTTTGAGAAATAAAAATTTATTTTATTTTAAAGGCGATACTTAGATAAAACCTTAAGGTATCTCCAAAAATAGTTGGAAAGTTCAAAAAATATTTATTGAAAAAACGTTATTGTAGCCACAAGACCGGCTTAAAGTGCTACTAAACCCAGAACCCTGCCTTCACTATATCTGGTCTCCCACAGTACACAGAACATGGAAATGCAGTTATTTTAATAAATACAAACTGCTAAATACCTTTTCTCATCTGCAGTTAGAACAGTCTTGTGACTTCTATCAGTGTTCAGCAGAGCACTGGTTAAAGCTTGTAGGAGGAGTTTTCATTCTGCTGTAGGAGGATGCAGAACCCCTGACCTCTGTCTGGACAGTTCTGATTGGCCTTGTACTGATCACATGCACTCTCCCAAGAAAAAAAAAACCTCTCTAACCAAACACACTAAACTGAGCATGTGCAGAGTGCCTCCACACAATATGTCTTATTCGGAGATAAGAGGGGGACACTGGAAGAAGGGGAGGATCAGAGAAGTCAGGATCAAACATCCTTTTTACACAATTCAGAGGATTAAGAGGATTAACCCCTTAGGTTCTACAGTGAGTATAACAAGCATGCTTTACTGCTTACACTGATTTTACTGTTCTGGGTTTAGTAACACTTTAATGTTGTAAGCGACACAATAACCATGTGTCCTAGTACCTCTTATATAGGTAGACCTATTTAAACTGAGCCCAAATTTAGAGATGATATCCCCTCATATTTCAATAGATCTCCCATGGGGCGTCTTTTAAAATTCATATCAGCAATTTGGGTGAATGTAGGGAAATACCCTCACAGATTTCAATAAGTCTCTCAGAATATGTATATGAGTCACATCAAATAAGTAATCAAAGTATATAGGTGCTTTGAGGAACTTCAGATTTTGAAGGTGACCACCAACCCTGTATCACGGTAATTAAAACTGGTCTGCACACTATATCTTTATATCTTTATAATGCTTTAAAAAAAAAAATTGTTCCTAGAAGTACTGTCAGTAAAATTATATGTATCAATGAGGGATGAATCTTCACCCCTACTATGCAATGTCAATAATAGTATATGAAAAAGCTTGAGGAGCAATGTTGCGAATAAATGAATAACAAATGTAGGGCTAATTCTCATTTTACTTCGAGCTGAAGTATCCAGAAGTTCAAATACATGTGCAGCAAAGATGTCTATAATAAAGACCTTCTGATTTTCCACAAATAAAATACTTGGCAAGGAATGTTGTCTGGAGAGATTTAGAAAGTGTTCACAACAGACCATAAACAGCCCTCCTGAGATATACAATTTACATCAACCGTTTTGTTAAAAGGTACTAGTGTACCCCATTATTAGCCAAGTATGTTGTTCTGTTTATTTCACAGAAAATCAAACGAGAGTCAATTCAGATCAGCATACTTCAACCCCAGCAAGTTAAATATCAAAAATCTTGAAATACCTTGTAAATATATGCAAGAGATAAAAACCCCTCACTGTGCCAGGGATCAGGGTCCAGGGACGCTAACCAAATTGTTTGATGGGACACCTCTGTGTTGCTTTCTTGCATCTGCTGCTTTGGATAACTAAGAAAATGCGTATTGCCTCTAACATAGTAATATTCACTAACCCCTTTCTCTTGCTTTCTAGCTAGCTGCATCAGTGTGTGCCTTTTTGTGACATGCATTTCTTCAGTGTTTTAAGACATTAAAGATGTTTTGTTTAAGTTTGCTATAGGATTTTAGCTCGTAGGCCCTTTTCACACGTGCAGTCCGGTTGGGTTCGCCTGTCTGTTTAGTGGAGAATTGAGGGTCTGGTCAGGTCTGCCTGGAAAATGGAATAGCAGACCCGACCAGACCAGACCCTCCTTTCTCCTCTGTAGGCAGTCGGATGTAAACAGATGTATCTGTTTACACCCAGCTACTGCAATCTGATCTGGCAAAAACAAATTAAGGGAATCCATTTCCCTGTCTGGCCGGATCGAATCAGAGGGCAGTCGGGTGATTGCCCATAGAAGAGTAAAGGGCTGTGTCCATGTCTGTTCTGCATAAGTTGAGCAGACACGGACCTGTCATCCAACCGCTCCGCTGAGCTCAGCAAGATCCGGCCTATGTGAAAGGGGCCTTCGTGAAGGTGGTTTAAGTGGGCTTTATATATTTACAGTAGAACTAAAGACAAAACTTTTTTTTTTTTCTTTTTTCATTTTGGATAGACTAAGGAAGAGTTCTAAACCCTGTCACCATCTGTCTCATTGGGGAGGTTTTCCTTCATTTCCTTTTCCATAGCCAAACATGAGAGGAAATCTCTACAAAGTGAGGGGATCCCTATATGTAACCAGGACCTCCAGAAATAGTGTCCCAATTAAAAGATTTTCCCTCTATTACTATTCTGGGGATAACCCCAAATTTGAAGTTTTCTTTCATTTTAGGTGATAACAGTAGACAGGAAAAACAGAGAGGGTAAATCTCCATTATGGAAGTACAGACATGTATCCTAAACCTCTCTAGTCTATCCAAAACTAGAAAAGTTTTTTGTCTTTGGTTATACTTTAACATCAGTTTAATTGCTTTTATAGCCATAAAAACATTTATACTTGGCCAGTCTTGAGTACACGTTTAAATCTTTGGGTGGTATGTTTATGCCTGAGACCTGATATTTTAAGTTCAAAACATGGTAATTTCCAGCTTTAATGACAAGCATTTGATAAAATTGTCTTAAGAGTCAAGGTATTGGGATAAGTCTTACTGGTAAGTAGTAAATCTGGCACTGCTAAATAGTAGCAGATGTAAGATAAGTGAGCTCCAGGACGAGGCATTAGATTTAAAGCAAATCTTTCAGCAAACCCAAAGCAAGCGATGTCTAAAATAT